GGGATGTCCAACAGTGGCAACTTGAAGACCTGTGGATTTCAACTCCCAGAATTCCCCAGCCAGCCATGAGGATCTGCCATCTTTCTTCTCACGCAGGACTGGGCAACTACGGCCAGACTTCAACTCTCGGACTTCCTGAGCCAGCATGGAGTTGAAATCCAGAGGTGGCAAAGGGGCCGTGGTTGCCCACCCCTGCTCCCATGGCCTTTGAACTGATTCCAGAGGAAACACTGCCGATAAATGCCAACCTGAGGATACCCTGTTTGTGGTGTTCCTTTGGGACGCAGCTGCCAACATCTGTATGGTCTCCTTTGTCCTGCAGTTTTATTCGAATTCTCTGCAGATTCTGCTTGAGATTCACACCACTGTGTGCCTTTGAAGTTTTGGCAAGACAATGGCCACGGCTGCCCTGGGCTGGACACACACACTGGACACACACACGCACACACAAACACACGTGCTGGATGCTCAGATCCTGCAGAGGAGCCGTGAAGGAGAGTCTCTCAGTCCCCAAAGTGCATTTCCTGTCTGGGAGTGCTGCCAAAAACTAATTGGTTTTCCCCAGCAAAATCCATTATGATTAGTCTTGTTGTATTGCTAACTTTAATAAACTTGGAACATCTGCTTCCAAGATGGCCAAGGAGGCCCCAGCGTTGCACACTCTTTGCACAAACCTTGCACTTTCCAGTTGATCCCATAGTTATGTGCAGGAGGAGAAAAGATTCCGTGTTCACAGGCTGATATACTTTATTTATTATTCAGGGAAAACAAATTAAATTCCCTTTCTAAAGCCCAGAAAGGATGTATTCTTGAGACCTTTCTTATTGGAATACCAACTTTATTTACAGAGAGGGCAAAAAGGTTTTTAGTTTGTCTGGAGAAGGGCTGAACCTCAGGTATGGAGCCTCGGGTGTTTCTTCGGAAGACCCCCCCATTCAGCTCCTGTTCTTCCAAGGCAGTGGTTCTCAACCTGTGGGTCGGGACCCCATTTGGGGTCGATCGACCATTTCATGGGGGTCGCCAAGCAAGGCTGTCCGCCATTTTTTTTGTCCGCCATTTTTTTTGTCCGCCATTTTTTCCCCCTTTTCCGGCGGGTGCCTTACCTCCCTTGGGCTGGGCCAGCTGGTGGTCGGCCTGCTCCGTCTCTGCCNCGGTTTAGTCCTTGACTTACGACCGGTTTAGTCCTCGACTTACGACCGGTTGGGGTCGCGGCATTAAAAAGGTTGAGAACCACTGCTCCAAGGCGATGGGGAAATACTCCTGATAGCTCAGCGGTGCAAGCTGATGCGTTTTATGTTTTTTCCTCACTCACCACAAGCTCCTTCCTGATGTCCTCCCTTTCTTTTCTGATAGTTCTATACTATATTCCATGCAGAAGGTTTTTAGCAGGCATCTGTATATGCTTGCAAATTTGAAAATCTGAAAGTATCACAAACAGCTTCTTCTGACACTTTGGTTAGAATTGCCATCCGGTGTGCAACTCATAACTGTCAACTCCAACTTCAGCCCCTTGGCTTTGAATTTTATGGGGCTTATTTTTGCCTCTTAGTATATACCAGCCACAGGACCAAAGGAAGGAAAGAATGCCCCTTCCAGCAATAATGCAAAGGACAACAAGGTTCAGGAGGAGCCAACTTGGTGGCTTCCTCACTGGTCATGCCTGGGATTGAGTCCCGCCACTCGCTGCTGGTCATCCTCTTCCACTTTCCTTCCATTTTCCCAGCATTATAGACTTCTCAAAGAAGCCAGAACTCTACACTGATTGACTCCATGTGATCAGGTGATGGTGACTCTAGTGACCACATAGATATTTTCCAGGAGGGTCTGTTCCCAACATATTCTTCAGGTCTCCCAACAGGGCACCTTCATGACTGTAATCAAGTCTGTCCACCTCGTTGCTGGTCAGCCTCTTCTTCTCTGTCCTTCCATCTTTCAAACAATGTGTCGAGATAATTTGAGTCTGGTCCTCTGTGCCTTGAGAGAAAATTCTGGGTTGATTTGTTCAATGATCAGTTTATTTGTCTGCTTGGCTGTCCATAGCACTCCCAGGAGTCTTCTCCAACACCCCAAAGCTCTTCTCATCCTCCCTCATCCTCTTTATATCACACGGAGATGGTTCCTCCTTTTGTGCTCCCACCAGTTCTGCCAAGGAACACCGTGCCACGACCAGCCCTGCCCCGAGGTTAAGAGAGGTCCTGCTCCCGATGGCTCTTGAAGTCATTAAAACCATGACGCTCCTTGGACGGGACTCCAGAGTGGAAATTCACCCATATCTATAACTGAAAGGGAGGATGAATCAATTTGATATGCCTGCAATTTTCGGTCCACTGCTGTGAATGAATGCAGCTGGAATCTGGCCACCCCAATTACAAAATACGTAAGGCATGAAGACGGGGGTTGCTGATTCCACTTTGGTGCCTTTCCAACTCTGTTTGGATGGGATTCCTGTGGGTCAAGGATCGTAGATCCGTCCCTGGCCTCTCAAGCAGGAAATGGGCTTCCTGGAAACATCCACCAGTTTTTTTTTCCAGTTTCCCTCCCCAAATTCCCAAGCAGGTATCCTCAGACTCCCAAATCACCAGGCTCCCGAGACTGAAAATAAGCTCGGCTGAGAAGAGACCAAGAGGAGAAAAACTGAACAAATGCTGCCAATCTGTTCCTCTGCTTCTGCAACCCAAATGGGGAGATCAGGACATTTCCAGTTGTCTTCCAAGCTGCCCTCTAGAGCAGTGCTCCTCTACCTTGGCTGCTTTAAGATGGGTGGATCCCTTGTGATCCCTGGAGGAGGTTAGTGCTGCTGCCAGCTTAGAGCATCTGCCTCCTTTATGCAGGGCAAAAACTGAGCTCCAATGGCCTCCGATGGTTTGGGCACCCAGCCTAATGGGCCACGTGGCTTCACGAGGTCCTCCACCTGCCTGTTCCTCAACTAGGGAGCAAAACTGCACCTGGAATTTCTGTTAAGTGGAGTTCTATATTTGTGACAATGTGCAGGAGTTTTGTTCTTAGAAGGACTCTTACAAATGCCAGGTAGTTCATGATGTTGTGGTTGTGCTTGCCTGAGAAGATGCTCTAAATGCACTCAATTAGTTTAATTTTCTTTGTTTGTACAATATGTTATGCCAAGATGCGTTTGTGGCTTCTCCAAGTCTCACCTGAAGGTGTTTGCACAGACTTTGGCTGTATTAAACGGCCTTTTCCTACAGCTGCCAGCTGGTGGAGCTGTTAATCCAAGCAAAGATCTGCCACATCCTTGACTGCTGTCTTTTCCACAAAGGAGAAAAGAAAAGGACACAATTCTCTGCTTTTTAGGCTTTTTCAAGAAGTCTCCTCTGTTGCTAAGATGCCACTCCTTCCAAACTTCTCAGCCGTCTTCCGAAGGCGCTCAGGAGATGGAAATAAAACCAGCCAATCTGACAGACCTGAAAGAGAGGGGAGGAGTCTGGCTTGGGTCTTCTTCCCGGGCCCAATCTGGATCTGCTGCCAGACACCCCAGAGGGCTCTCCGGCTTCTGGGAAGTGCAAAGAGGATCTTGTGGCTGTCACAGGCAGTGGGCACCTTGCCCAGGAAATGGGGCTGCTGACAAAAAAAGGTGCAACTTCCCATAAGAAAGAAGGGTGTTGTAGCCCACCCTACAGATTGAACAGAGGCCGGCTCTTTTTAAAGAGCCGAGTGATCTATTGGTGCCATTTCTAGAGCCAGGCAACCCAGTCAGTCAGGGGCAGCCTTGGAAGGGAGAAGGGCCCCAAACCTGGGAAGGGCTGGAAAAACAGGATGTTTTTTGGGGTGACTGGGTGGGGAAAAAACAGGAAGAAGCTGCAGGGATTGGCAGGAGAGAAGATGGAAGACAGCTGCCTTCAGGGCGGTAGGTAGAGAGGTCTGTGCGTTGTTGGCATCTCTGCTTTTGATCTTTCTGGCTGAGAGGAAAACACCCAAAGAAAGGCTCAGACTCTGAGCCCCAGGGGACAGAACAGAGGGGGTCAGAGGAACCTGGGAGGTCATTTAGTCCAACCTCTGGCAAAATCCCCACCCGTCCTCAACCTCCCGAACCCCTTTCCTTGCCATTTAGGTCCACTGCTGCCCTTTGGGGTGACTCTGAACACTTACGTCTTTCGGTGCCCTTTTCTGTTCTTCAGGCTAAACTTTCTTGGCAACGACGGATTTCCTCCAGCCGTTTGCCGCGCAAGGCGAGACCGGGCGAAGGGGGGAATCAGCCAAGCTGGACTTGGGGGGCTTCCCCAAAATGGGATTTCTCGCATCTCGGCAGGATCCGGGAGCGCCGATTATGCAGAGCGCCCCGACTTCATCCTCCGACACCCCCCAACCCGCCCTCTCAGCCGCCCAGAGAAGCGGGCTTGCAGCCTGGGGCGCGCTCCAGCGGCCGCCCTTCCTTGCGCCGCCCTGCAGATTGCGCGCTCCCGAGCCAGTGGAAGACGCCCCCGTTCCGTCCCAGCCCTGTGATTGGACTCCCAGCGGCGGGCCGGGCCATAAAAGGGCGAGCCCGTGGCGAGGGCGGCCACAGCGGAGCCGCCTGCAGCCCCGAGGAAGCCGCTCCGGTGCGTGGGAAGCGGCGGCGTCTCGGCGAGCGAGCGAGCGAGCGACCGTGGGGAGCTGCGCCAGGTAGGCGCCTCTGGTCTCCCCTGCTGGGCCCTATAGAGTGTGTATTGGGGGGGGGGCTCTTCTCCCATCGGAAGCCTGACAAGAGCACGCTGGTTCCGCACCTCGCCTGGGTGCCTGCCGCGTCCTCCCTAGCCTGGCAGCGGATTCCGCGAGTCGCAGTCCCAGGGCGAGGCTTCGGGGCTCGGGGGGGGGGGACCCCGAGGCGGTGGGGTTGCCAGACGGGAGTCGAGTGGATCCGTGCAATCCCAGCCAGCTCCGAAGTCTTCCCCGCAGCAGACGGGCTTTCTAGGCGAGAGCTCTCCGGCCCTCAGGTCTTAACCTCCGCCTCCTCCTCCCCGCAGGCAGGCAGCGTTTCTGCCCCCCTGATGTGGTTCCTGGACAAGATGCGGGCGTCCCCCGGAGAAGCCGGCCTGCTGGGCCCCTTGTTCCTCGCGCTGCCCTCCGAGAAGGGCCAGGCGGCGGCTGCCACCGCCTTCCCGAACATCTTAACCCCAGACCGCATCCCGGAGTTCTGCATCCCTCCGCGGCTGAGCAGCCCGGCGCCGGCCAAGAGCCCCGGCCCTGCCTTCCAGCCCCGCCACAGCCTGACTGAGCCGGGCTTGCAGGAGGCGGCCTCCCCCGGCTTTGGCCCCTTCCCGCCCCACCTGATCCAGGTGGAAAGCGTGGAGGAGGTCCTGGACCTGGAGCAGGGCGGCACCAACTCGGACCCCCAGTCGCAGGCCGCCCTCTCTCTGCCCCACGTGCCCAAGGCCCAGACCTCCTACGGCTTCTGCGTGCTGCTGGAGAGCCCCCACACCCGGAGGAAAGAGTCCATCTTCCACAGCGAGGTCTCGGGCAGCTCCCTGGTCTTGCCCCGGTCACGGGCCAGCAGCTATGGTGGCAGGGAGCCAGCTTCCAGCCCGGTGGCCATCCGCCGCCGGCACCTCTTCAGCAGGCAAGGGGCCTGGGACAGCGACACCGCCTCCTCCAGTGAGTCCTCACCCTTCGGCTCCCCCCAACTGGGCAGGTCCCTCACCCGACCCGGCTGCCTCCTCAGAGCCCGGAGCCAGGAGCGGTTGCTGGGCCAATCCTGGAGGGCCCGGAGGCGGGCTGGCACCACGCGGGCTGGCTCCTTGTCGATGGATGAGGGCAGTTCCACGGACAGCAGCTCCGGGTCTCCCCGGCACTCTTCAGAAAGCCCACTGCCCCTGGCGGCCTCCGGCCTCCTCCCCCTGCCTGCCTTCCCCCTGGACTACCCCTGCGGCCCGGAGCGGCTGGGCAGGGAAGCCACCGTGGCAATGGACAAGGGGGGGCTGCTGCGCCTCTCCTCCGAGCACTGCCCCACCAACCAGCGCCTCCGCATCCGCCTGATCAGCGTGGAGGGCCTCTACCGGGCGGCTCCCCTGGAGCCCAAGAGCATCAACTGCTGCATCAGCTTTTCGCTCCTGCCGGGCAAGATCCAGAAGCAGCGCAGCACCGTCATCAAGCGGAGCCGCAACCCCATCTTCAACGAAGACTTCTTCTTCCTCGGTGTGTCCGAGGACCACCTGCCCCGGCTCTCCGTCCGGATGAAGGCCTTGAACAAAGGGGGGAACATGAAAAGGGACCTGGTTTTGGGGGAGAGCGAAGTGCCTTTGATGCAGATTTTAGCCGCCTGAGAAACTCACGGCCACCCCCAGAGATCTATTTATTTATTTATTTATTTATTTATTCTCTGTGTGTAATTATTTTTTAAATAAAGTGGAATTTTATTTAAATATGCACAACTGTCTCTGGCTCTTAAATCATAGAGAAGAATGCTTTTGGATTTCAACTTGAATCAGCCTCTCTAACAAGGTCAGTTTGGCTGATTCCAGAGTTGCACATCCAGGACTGAAGCTAATCCAAACTCTCCCCAAAATGAGAACTCAAAAATGTTTACGTAGCACTAAAGTGGTATATCTGTGCAAGGTGGTGAAGTAAGCTCTTGGTCGACTGTTGCCCCTTCAAGCCTCTTCATCACCACAGCAGGAGAGCTAAAAATCAGGAGGAATAATGAGGAGGTATTTATAATTAAAGGGCCAATTCCACAGGCACCAGAGGCTAGAAAAAAAGGGAGACCAGGTGTATTGATGGAGCAGAAGGGAAGAACCTGGGGTGGTTGGGAAAGCAGTTTCCCTCATTTGTGGCCTCAAGTAGCAAGTGAAACTGAGCGGTGGAAGTAATCCATCAGCCAAGAGACTACCGTCTTCCTGAGGTGGAGGCGGGGGCATAAATCTGTCTTCTGGATATTCTCATTCCTCCCTGGGGGACCCAGCTGTGCTTCCGCCCTTCTCAGCAAAGAAAGCCGGACTTCCTGAGACACTTGGCCAAAGCTTTAAGAAAAGGTCAGTGTGGGTTTTCCAAGCAGCCAGAGCAGCTCAAGAGACAAGATGGTTCCTTTCCACACATCACTCTTCCCCCTACAAGGCAGCCGCTGATCCCAGGGAAGCTCCTTGGACACCCGGGTGGTGTTGGCATACCTCGCAGGCACGGGATTGTTGTTCTGGCACTTTCTTCTGGAAAGCACCAGAGCACCCCCCAAAACAAAGCCTGAGGCCTTCTGGAGCCTCCCCAAGAGGGTCACCCCGGGCACCAGACAAGCACAAAAGCTGCAGCCAATCCAAGCTCCTGCTGCCTGTTTGACTCCCAGAAAAGGTACCCTGGGCTGGGTAAAGATGGGCAAAGAGATGGTGTTCCTGAGTTCACGTGGTGGGGAGTCTCCCTTCCCCCCACTTCTTGGAGAAAGTAACAGGCACTCAACGGCTTGACTTGAGCCCAAAGCAGCTGCTTTAAGGGCGGCAACAGATCTCCCCAGCACACTGAAAACATTAGCTGTGAAAGTGCTGAGATCAATAGATGACGATCAGTTGAAATTCCCAGCTCCAGCTCCTTTGCCTCACGTCGACTGGTGTGAGAAGGGAGCTCCTTCCCAGGTCCCTGGCGGTCTCCTTCCTTGGACCAGGTTGTTTTCAGCACCATGCAAGTGGTCCTGGGGCTTTCTGAGAACATCAGCCCTGTGGTGTTGATTTCATTGAGGCAGCTCTTCGTAGCTCTGAGGGGTCCATTGTAGGGGGAGCTACGTGGGGATCAGAAAAGGTAGAATGGACAGAATAACTTGGCCGTTCAACTGATAAACAGCACACAGGTGTGCAGATGAGCGGACCCAAAGTTGAGGTTGGAAAGGCGAGGGTCTGGCGGGTTCCAGAGGGGATGAATGGCATGGGCCAGCCCCAAGATGTCAATCAGGAACTGGTCATGGGGAAGGGGCCAAGTCCTGCTCAGGGGGTCCCAGCTGCTGTGGGATGGAAAAGGCTTTGGTCCAATACAGCTGTTCGACTCCACACCTCTGAACTGCCAACCATGAACCATCTCGAAGGAAACGGTGCTCAGGTCCTTTCAATTCCTGAGGATGCGCTGGGTGGCCGATTTACACACTCCTCCCCCCTCCCCCGATCTTTATTTATCTGGGTTCTTGCAACCTTTCCTAGAAAAAAATCTGGAAAAGGGCAGCTTGACAAACAAAGACTCCAGTGTAAGAAAGCCAGGCAGGCGGTTGCCAGGCTACTAATGACAACCTAGCAGAGGAAAAGTGAATGTGTGTATAGTGTGTGTGTGTAGTTTTTGTGTGTGTGTGTGTGTGTGTGTGTGTGAGAGAGAGAGAGAGAGAGAGAGAGAGAGAGAGAGAGAGAGGGAGGGAGGGAGCCAAGATAAATCCTGCCTGGGAAGAAGAAGAGGGGGCAGGACATGCAAAGCCCCAGCCTCACACAGGGCGGAGGTGGTCCCCAATGCACGCACATGAGGAGCATCTCCTTTCTCCGTGAGAAAGATCAAGGGGATGGGAGTCCCGCTGGGCCCAGGAGCCTCCCAGGAACAGCCTTTCCAGACTAGCTTCCTTTCAGACCTTGTCCAGGGACCTCCATTTCCAGGATCCCAACTTTATAATCCAACTCACAAGCACTGACCCCAGTAGGAAAAGGTGGTCCGAGAGGATCAGGCCCAAGGAGGCGAGGACTCCTCTACTTCATCACCTCTAAGATCCAGGCCCATTTCAGACTTCAGCCCCTTCTTCCTAAAGCTGCTGCCTTTTCATAAAGCTTCTCTGCCTCCTTTCTAATGTCAGATTTTTTTGGCCGCTGCTTCAAAAGGAAGTGATTCTTTCCAAGGAAAATTCTCACACAATTCCCACTAGGAGCATTAATTGAGAGGAAGTGGATGGATTCCAGGAATTTCAGCTACCAAATTATTTTCGAACCAGTTTACATTGGGTTGCAGACTTTCTTAACTTTCAGTGACCTTCTGTAACTGGTGAAGATTTGGCCCTTTCGCTGATAACAGGAAAGCTCGTAGCAGGTGGCTGGCATAAATCTCTCCTCAACTTTTATTGATATTCATCCAGTTTTTCCTTAATGGGTCTCGAGGCACGGCAGCAGCTACCAAACAGGCTTGCCCAAGTCTTAAATGTAAAAGAGCTTCTGATTGATGCTCAGAAACAGCAAAGCCCTTTCTCTGATGGCTTTCTCCAGGGAAAGTAAGATGGCCAGCTGCTCCATCCTTACTGGTGCTTTAAAGACAGCCTTAAAAGTCAGTTTCCCTCAAGGGACTCTTATCTGAGATGTTGTACTATACTGAAGGTTGGAGAAGATGGTTTTCCAGTGCGAATTGGCTTCCAAGGGGTCCTGAGGTTTGCCTACTTTTGCTCCTGCAGAACTCGTTCTTCTAGTTGCATCAGAAGATGCAGACCAGTTTCAGATGAGGCTAGCATCTATTGGAGACAAGCAGAAAGAGGATGGGGTGGCAGCAGTATCAGGGGAATCCACGAACGATCCACTTCTGCACCAGCAGGAAGTCTGAGCAGAGCAAACGGTCAGCATAAGGAAAGGACATATTTGCCACTGGACTTTTTCCTATTCCTGTCTGTGATCCCTCTGGAGAAAGGGCAGGAATATGTTTGCCGATTGCGTGTGCACACAGCAGGTGCACAAGTCAGCCTCCCCCTTCCCCCCTTCAGTCAATCTCACCCGCATTCCCCAGCCAGGGGGGTGGGCTGCCCTGCCTGCCATCTCCACTCAGTTGGGGATAAGGGAGAGAAAGTAATGGCTTTTTTAGTATTGAAGTGAACTCAGAAAGCTAACCAGGGCTGGACCAAATATGGAGGACCAGCAACTCAGGGCACAAGGCCAGTTAGGGGAGGACAATCAGTCTGTCAACCAATCACTCCTGAGAGAAAGCAACCATGGCTGTATTCTTGCCAACTAGGAGATAACTTGGTTGTGACCCTGAGTCAGAGGAGTTGCCCTCCCCTCAAAGAACACCTCCCCCACTGCACACTGACTTGGCCCCGAGCCCCTCAGGGACACTCACACCTCAGAGCAACAGTCAAGAGAGTCTGAAAGTGCAAAGTACCACCCAGCAGGTCCATGCATGCTCTAAATGCTGGATTTTTGCTTAGTGTGCTGTAGAAAAGCTAAAGTTTAGATCAACTTTATGTGTGCTGCTTTTAGTAGCCTTTAAATCCATTTTTCCAGAAAGAACATGGATGGTTTTGCATGAATACACAAAAAATAGATGATACAGATGCTGTCCCTTGGCTGCCCAGCAGTTCTGCATGCCCGATCTACGGTGGACAAAATGTTCCAGCTCCCTCCTTGGCTGTGAAGGTGTAATGCCGTTTCCTGTAGCTTGTCCGTTGCTCCTCCGAATGAAAGGACATGCAGCTGAAGGATGTGAATAAGACTCTCTCTGGGAAATGAGTGATGGAGTAGGATTTTGGCAAGTCAAATCAAGAGGCTGCAGACATTGGGCAGGCCCAGCTGCACGAGCGAGACAAACTGGATAATGGTTAACTTTAATCAGGGCCTCTTCCAGCCTATCCTGAAAATATGATTCAGGAAAATGCCAGGTAATAGCCATCTATTCCTTCTGCATTGCATTAAGAACTACCCCCGCTCCAGAATGACAGCTGCAAAAGGGGGAAAGTATCCCCAAATGATGAAAGGGAATGTCCTTTCCCATCTTCTCTCCCCCCGCCCCAGTTTGATAGGAACTGGGACAAGGAAGTCTTCCAGGGCTGGCAATTTCTTTTGGAACCAAGATTTGCTTGGGATGTCACCCTTCTCAGTCCCTTGGCAGAAGACAGTGGTTTGCAAAACCCCACAACACATTGGCATATCCTTCCGTTCCCTGGAAAATGGGCAGCTCTCTCTCTCTCTCCTGCTCATCCAAGGGTCATTTACAAAAGAGTGAAGAAAGCTGGGCTCCAGCCGTTCAGAGCACTTAGTACATCTGATTTGAGAAACTTCCATGAGACTCGTGTCTGGAATGGGCCCAGCGGTTGATGTAGCAGGGGCCACACTCTGAAGAATTGGATTTAGTTGTAATGGAATTAAATAGGGCTGCTCCCAAGGCGGAGTTCCATAGGTGTTCCCTTTCTGGCACACTGAAAATGATTCTCCCCTAGCAAATCTGGAAAGAGCTCCGGGCCTATGCCCAGAAGGCGGGCATAGAACCTCTCATGTGCCAGCTCAGATACCATGGCAAGAGGTCCCTCATGGTGGGTTGAGGAACAGCCCATCAACTTTGACATCCATGCTTGCATTGAGCATTGAGCAAGACAGGAGAAGTCAGAAATGCTGCTTTTGAGGGTGGCAGCATCTTGTTCTTCG